TTGTGCAAAACGATGTTATTATGTACACTTCTTGGTTGTCCCATAATAAACCATTCTTGATACTCCTTCATACTGCGAGGACAATAGAATAATCGAGACCTAAGTTTTAACAGCAATTTGTGTCGTACAGAAATTGAGAATTTCACATATTTATTGTCTCTACTTGAGGCAGTTTTGATGAACATGAACTCTGTTGCTTCTGATAAAAGATTGTGGCTTTTTTTCCCTTGTAAATATTATGCCTATTCTGTGATAGAGGAGCCAGAGTTCTCAATCTTAGCGGATTCTTTTAAATAATGTTGACATTTTCAGTTATGGTCAAGAGTTTGTGTGGTTGTTAGCATTGGGGGGTTATTATTCGTTCAATGACCCAGAGGAGGAAGTCATATATACATCATTTAACCTCTTGGTGCATCATTTGTGGGGAGGATGATGAAAGTTCTGACAATCTGTTATTATGTTGAAAAGTAGCTTAGAATTCTGGTTAAGATTGGTTTTGAAGCAGGTTTCTAATACTCGGCTACTTAGAGATGCCTATCTATGCTTGTGAAAAGTTATTTGATTTTGTTCAAGACTTCAAATAGAAAAATTGTGTCTTGGGGAGGTTTTCCTGTTAATTACGGCTTTATTTTGGGTTATTTGATTGGAGACAGAGAACGAAGGGTTTGGGCATAAATGCCAAGAGAATTTATGGGGAGGCTAAAATTTTCTGGGAAAGATGGAAAGACATTTTGTAGAGTGCATGCCCGCCTGCTCGGTGACCTGTCTTTTTTACTAGTCCTTCTTGTCCTCGTCTTATTTTATTATTTTTTTAATGATTACTATTGTAAAAGGTGATATTTTTATTGTTTGTTAGTTTCTTGGATGTTGTTGTTACCATGAATAATCATATACCATAATATGTTTTCTTTTCTGGTTCGTGATCTTATGCCAGAATGGAGGGGAGTTTCTAATACAAGCCAATACTCAAAAACGTCAGAAACTTCAACAAGATGAAGGCTCAACCGTTTTTGAACATGTTGATGTGAGTTGTTTTTTTTTGTTTTTCTTGTTTTGCTAAGAGATGTGATGTCTTGTTTAGTTACTTAACTAAAGCTCTTGTTTGCAACAAATTAAAACGCAGGCTGTCACTGAGGGAAGACAAGTGATTTTGGAAACTGTGGAAACTAAGGCAAATGATACAAATAGGAAAAAGCATGGTCGTGGCAGGGGGCACACTGTTTCAAGCCGGGGGCGTGGTTCAAGGGTTAATGATCAAACAAGATCACAAATAAGCCCTGCAACAGTTACGCCTTCAAATGGTCAGCTTGAGTACTCATATAATAAGGTATGTTAGTTTTCTTAAGAACAGGAACAAACTACATTTGTGGGTCTGGTATTTTGTTTCTTTCTCACCCTTTGTGTTAAAACTCTACGGATTGTTTCTTATCTTATTAATCTAATAACAAAACTTTGTAACATTTTAATTATGTAATAGGATGATTTTCTTATTGAATTCAGGATAATAGGTCCAAGGAGCATTTCCGCAATGACGGCCGTTTGTCATTAGAGGTGTGGTTCCCGTTTTTATTTTTTATTTTTGTTCATTTTTTGGTATGTGATAAGAAATCATTTATTACTTGAAA